GTTATGTCTAAATACTCGTAAGAATATATGCTTCTTTAATGGGACCATCTTTATTAATTGCCCTATTTTCGTTTGGAGATTTTTGTATAAGAATCGAATATCATCACGCTTCAAGCGTGCCATAGATATATATTAAATATAATGCTAAAGAATTGTCCTTCTAGGATATCAATTCGTGTTGAAGCATTTAAAGCTGTGCATGAGACGTCGATTTCTTTGGTCAGTAAATGCATCTAAATGAATTATCTTTCGAACTTCTGGTTTAAATTATCTTTTGTGAGGATTTAGATAATAATGTATTTGTACATTATTTCCATCTTCTTAATCCTCCCCATAATTTTGAGAAAATTGTCCAATTAAATTAATAATCAGCAAACCGTGTTATAAAATATCATCCATTTGAGATAAAAATTCAAACTACTAATTTATTTTCAACATTCTTTACACTCCATGTCAGTACATTGTGGCGGATCAATTTTATATATTGCACTATCGAAATAATTTGATAGAAAAATTAGGCTGTAATGAAGATGAGCATAGTCAAATATCATCACAGACTGGGGAATGAAGAAAAACATAAACCCACGAATTTACCAGAAATTCAAATGAGTAGACAACACCGTTTCATCAAACAGAGGACGGCACCGTTTCATTTCTTTTAAATTGAAAAGTGCAAAACACAACACACAACCAAAACTCATTTTTCTATTGTTATACCCAACAGTAGGAGGGAAGAAGAGTAGTGTGGAATGTATTAACAGATCTCCAGTCATTTTTCTCTCTTCTAGATTATCATCTTCTTCTCTTCTCTTATATTCTTCTCGTCTCATTTCTTATACTGTTATCTTCAATCAATTTTTATTTCAGCAATTAAGTTCAGTTCATTAATAAAATATCAGCTGGATTATTGATAAGTCAAGTTATAACTCGAAAAACTATGATGTTAACATGATGCGTAATAGTATTCCCTAAATATAAAAGGGAAGTATTTTTTTCTCAATTAAATTAATTGAATGCATATAACACTATTTTATTGATATTTCAACCAATGCTTATTAAAAAGTTGAGATTTAGGATCACTGGTATTAACAAGACACACTGTCTTAATTGTATAATCTGAAACTTATGCTCACAATTTGTATAGTAATTTCACAAATTGCAGGTTGCGACCAATATGCTATCATCTAGTATTTGTATCAAATATACTAGATACAAATAATATTTAGATGGTCAAAGTAGAGAATAATGGGATTCTATTTATCACCCTAATTAATTTTCAAAAATATAAGTAATTCAGACTCTATTTTAGCTAGTAATGGTTAATGAAAAAATTTCACGAAAGAGAACAAATAACATATATGAATTTATTGGATAGAAGAATATTGTAGTTTTTCATTGAATATCCATTTGAATTTTTAATCTCGTATCATTATTAATCCAATGATGGTTCAACTGGTCATGCCAAACAATAAAGTCAATTTAAATTTCTGGTTCATATACGATATTATTCAATTATTTAATTTCGAAGAATATGAATAAATATTTTATAATCATATAACAATATATTAAGTAGACAAACTAATCAATGCCAATATAACATGAGTTATATGTTTTCCTCCAGAGATAAACATGATTTTAAAATGATATACTCTTCGAAATATATTATATTTCAAGAGCACGTTGTATTTTATTTTTATTTCTTAAAGAATAATGTGTCAATATTCTTCTATAATATTAGAACTTAATGACATACTCTTTAGGAGTAATAACATATTATTATTTAAAATAATAAATTGTGTAAGAGTTTACTCTGCGAGAGTAAAAACATATTTTTTTATTATGCTTTTCGGAAGCATATAAAATATAACTAGAACATCAATATATAAATAATTTATGGACACGTAAAAAATAGAGTAGTTTAATTTGTGTTTTTACCTAGAAATCAATCAATATTCTTCTGAAATAATGAAATAACTATTCATTCTACATTTCGAGTTAAACAATATAATATTAAAATTTGTGCTCTACATGAGCAACAATGCAATACTTCTTGAATATTTCTATAACGTGGGTTGTATTTCTTCGAGAACAACATGTTCGTTTAAAATAAATATAATTTAAGTTATACTTCTTCGGGAACACTAAGTCAATATTCTTCTAGAATATTGAAATTGTAATAGCATGTTCTTCTAAAGCATGTAATATTCTAATAGATTATTAATAATATTGTACTATTTCAAGAGCAACAATGAAATATTATTTAGAAACATTAATTCTTTAGGAGTATATTTTCTAGTACAATGTCAATAATTGTAGAGTTGTGTTTTTTCGAGAGCAGCAACGAGATATATTATCAATTTAAGTTTATAAAAGGATATCAAAAATATATTTGATTAGGTTAAAGAAAAAGAAAAAGGCTACATGTGACAACAGGTAAACATATCGATTAAATCATTCGAAAATTGAGGATGTTGCATCAATGTATTGTTTAAAGTTAATTGCTTGTGCTGACTTCGAAATTGAAGACCACCGTAATCACGGCAATAAAAAAGCAGGTTCCAACCGTGACAAAGCCATTTCCATTGTGCGAGTTCAGACAAAATTGATTCTTTAAAAAAAGAATTATAATTACTTTTCGATGATTATGTATATACATATAAATTTTTTTTAATCGTTTGCCGAGTTCGTTTGTAATATGAAGATGAATATAAATTTATATTCTATTGAAATGCTGATGAAGTACTGCTTCCGTTTTCTTTTCTATAAAAACTAGAGCTGCGAGAATATAATTTTCATTCACTAATAAAATATTATTTACAACAGGGAGTTGTTTATAAATTTGTTTAAACTTTAAATAGATAAAAATGAATGATGAATAAATGAAATAAAATAAAAATTGGTCAATTATAAACAAGATACGCACAATGGCTAAGAGTTAAAAAAAAGGGGGAATTCATTTACCAACTCTAAATGTAAATTTTTGAACATTGTAAAAATATTCAAGTAAACGGATTTTTTTATTCATTACTTTCGCACTAACAGCAGTAAAAATAAATCTCCTATGATCCTACTACCCAAAATTTATTGAATATTTTTTGTTCTTAAAATACTGAGAAGATGCCTATGTTTGACAACCATTCCGTTGAGTTTTTTTTTTTTTTTTGAAGAGAATGAATTTTTGAATAGTAGCTTTTTGGAGAATGTGTGATTAAAAGTAGGAAAAAAATTTGAATTTATGTGGAGAATATTTTATTGTGAGAATGTAAAGTTGAAAATGAATATGAAAAGAAAAGGATTTTGAAAGAATGATTACCAAACAATCTCTACTTTATTTTCTCATATGCAACAGGCCCTCTTTTGATAATTGCAGAATTAGGAGGTTCATGCATCTCCTAGGTGCTACGCTAAGTACATTTTCAGGTAAGAATGATAAAATATTCCGTCTTTGTCTTACCTTACATTGCTCATCTCAATCGAAAAAAGTTTCGATATGATGATTCTATATACGTACGTGATAAAATTATCAATTCAAATCACGACACTTCAAACATCGAGCTATCAAATCGTGGCATCTCGATGTTCAAGGTGATACAATAGAAAAACAAAGTGGATGAGAAAGTTGAGATGTAGCGGATCAAGATTCGATGTGTCGTGATTTAAATTAACGATCTTACCATGTATGCATATAAGATCGTTCACCAAAGCTTTTCTCGGCCCCATCTCGTCCACCAATATGATGTTTGGCATGGATAGTACCCAAATGAAGTTGATCTGGTCAACCCAACTGCTCATATGATATTCATGGTAGTGTCATTAAACTTATTTACCAGTAAAATTTACTTATTAAGTAAATAAATATAATTTGAAATATATAAATTTTATATTAATTAAATTCAAAAACAAATATGTTACTTTTAAAAAGTAACTATTTTTATTTGAAAGTAAAAAAAAACTAAATGTTATCAAAAAAGGTTTGTAAGCAAAAAATAAATTTTTTTACAGGAAAATAAGTTTTAGATAAATAACTCTTTTATTAATGAAAGTTAATATAAGTGGCACTTTCAAAAAAAAGTAAGTTCTAAAAATAAAAATAAGAAGAAGGTAAATTATAATATTTATAGACAAAAAGTAAATTCACTTTTTCTTCATGAAAGTTAATAATAAGTTACTTATTTTGACACAAACGTAAAATTACTTTTCAAGAAGAGTAACTTTTTCTATTTAAGAGTAAGTAGAAGTAAAATACCCAAACATATTTGTAGAAAAAATACTTAAAAAATTATAGATCTTTTTATTTTCAATAGTGTAAAACCCCAAATGTAATATTATAATAATACACCTCAATATAGTCTCTTATAATAATCATATCCTGCCCAATCCAATATGGTATATCGAACGTACCCATGCAACTAACAACATTTAGTTAATAGATTCGACACGAACATGAATCACCAAACTTCATGATGCATAGACAAGGGAAAATAATTGACAGGTAGCATTAACGAGCATAATACATCTCAAAAGTATTATTTCTACAATCAAATACTCAAATATTCATGGTATTGAAGTTACTGATGCAACAAACATCCATAATTACAGAAGCTGTGAAGTTAGCATAACACTGCCTACACATAAAATATCAGAAACAAAGTAAACGCTCCTGGCAGAGTTCAAAGCCTTCAGGTGTTGCCCAAGGCATTATCAATATTTTGCCTAAAAGTTCTAAACCAAAAATTTCTAGATGCCTATAACTCGAAACTCCCATTAAACCATAAGCTTCGTGCTCGTATAAAATATATGTTATTCGAAAAAATTGCATTTATGTCTATTGGCACAATGGAGAAGGGCAATTCATATTATCACCTTTTCTTCCCTTTTTTCCTTCCTTTGACTTCTTTTTCCAAGCTCTTAAGCCTTTGATTAAGAACAGCTGAAGAAGGGATTCTCGGAGTTGTAGGTTTTGATGCTTCACCAGGTGATGATGGTAGAGACCGCTGTTGTTAGGCTGCTGCATATTTTTTGAGTGCTTCGAAAAATGAGAAGGCAGGTTTTTGATCCGTTGAAGAAGGTGGTGTCACAGGTATTATAGGTATACCCAAGAACTTCTTCACCTCGGGTATTCTAATAACTGAAAAGAAAGAAAGCAGAAATTACTAGGAAAGTATAACTGAAAATAAATCATTTCTTGGTAAATGATTTGTCAGGGCTAACCTAATCCATATGTGAGAGAGAACAGGTTGGAGGTAATCTAATAACAGAATATACCCTGTAAATATAATAGATCATTGATGTAAATGTCTTTTGCATTGATAAATATTTACATAAATTCCTTATAGAACTAGTGAACTACAGATATGTTTGCTGCTCGTTCTATTAATCAAGACCAGCAATACCAACCAAAGGCTATTGATCAACACGTGGACTATGGTGCATCTTATCCCTTGGTGCAACATAAGATCCAGGAAGGTTATAGAGATCTTCTATCATGTGTAATTGATCTATGTAATTAGAACTCTTCCATAGTTCCCTAGAAATAACATGGCAAGATCTTGACACAATAATGTAGCTCTTCAAAACCATCTAGGAGAGCATTTGGGTCATAAGCATGCTTGGCTAAGCTTTAGAATATGTAGAAGTTAATGTTTTGTTCCTAAACATGTTTAGATAAGTTATTTTTTCCTTGCTTTTAAGTAAAAAAGAAAAAGTTCCTTAGTTTGAAATCAACTCGTATCTTAGTGTCAAACTAAGTAAATTCTGATCAATAAAAAAATTATTTTGTTTAAATATTTCTTAAGCTTAGCCAATCCAAACATGCTTGAAGCCTCATTCTTGGTCATCCTTTCAGGTTTTTCTCATGTTCAATGTTTCTACACATTTTCATATACTTTCAATGTTCTAATGTTAATATTAGTTTGTACAGCTATATCAATAAAGATTTCAACGCAAGCCCTTCCAATTACATTTCGTAAAGGACTATGAGAGAGAACCAAAGCAAAAGCAATTTAAATAATGATTGTGAATATACTCTTGGCACATGAGTAAATTCAATGTGTACAAACAAAACTCTATATATAATGCAAGTTCTGTAAAAGTAAATGAAGCAACATTTACCTTAGAAAATCCTGTGGTAAAAGGAATTGTCAGGGCAGCAAAGACCCTTGAAACATTTTTGATGGTGTTAGCAGCAGGATTTCCTTCCAAACCTTCTTGAGCGTTGAACTGGGAAGAGAAGTGTTTCGCGCGTTTTTCGCTCG